ACTGGGTTTAGTCCAAGGCAAACGAGGGTAAGTAAGGATGAACCACCACCCTGGAACACGAGTGGGGTGGCACAGAGATGTTGTTCAAGTCAAGTGCAAGCTAAAAAAGGATGTTTGGTATGGCCATGGTGCTCTGCAGTGTGGTTTGACTTTTCTTCCATTTGGACAACAGAGGGAGGAAGTTATTAAATGATTCTGCAAGTGTATCTTGTGCTGGTTACACAAGTGTGTCTCCATGTACGTACATGTATCAGAAATCCCAAGCTGAATCCTGCCTGCTAAACTAAATCTTTGAGTCATCCAAAATGATTCAATCTGCTGGGATTGATGTTTTCTGGATTAACATTCTAACAGGAATGCTGTTTGGACAAGAGAATTTGGTGTGGAGCAGCAGCAAGAGGCTGTTGTTACTGTCCTTGAATTATGTGTTTTAAAGTCCATGCCCTTCACAGGATTGTCTGCAGAAGTAACAAAGCTGTGCTGGAGATATTGCTGAATACTGATTTGTCAAATAGATTTAATTATCAGGTGACTATCACATATTTTGTAACCATTTCTGATTTATACCCTTTGCTCATCAAAATGTGATCTCTGTCAAACCATGCAAACGTGAGTTGTTTAAGGAACAGTAGCCAGGAGTAACTGGGCAAGAACAAGAATGAACTCAGTTTGAGTGGGGTGGAAAGAAAAATATAAAAATGTCATGGTTGACCTCATAGTCTTGTAGAAAAAAATGTCACACTGGGGTGTATGAACAGAAATAAGCTGAAATATATGTCAAATTACCCAGGTTTGCTTAGGACTGTTGGGTGTGAGCTGAGGGCAGGATCTGGTTTAGGGCCCTGCAGCTCAGGGAAGATGAAAACTGAAAGGAGTGTAGAGAGGAGTGGTAAGAATGACCAGAGGATGTGAAATCATTACTAGCAGAAGGCTGAAAGAAACGTGTTTAGTCAGAGGGGGAGACATCATGTTCCATGAGTTCATAAGTGGATGCCTTTAAGAAGGGAATTTTGTTCCCACTGTTCATGATAAATTGATGAAAACATCAGAGGTTTCAACTGCAGCAAGATTTAGTGAGCTTAGGGAAAGCTTTCTGGTGACAAGAACTGGAGCAGATTGTCGAGGACGTGGTGCCTCCATTGTTACAGAACCATGGCAGGAATGGCCCTGGTGCAGCTGATCCCCCTTTGGGCGGGGGGATGGACCAGATCATCTTTTGGGGTCCCTCTTGGTGTTGGGGGTCTGATGCTCAGTCTCTACCTTGTGCTGTTTCTTGCATCAGGGCAAGTAAACAGTCTTGTACTTGCTGCTGAACCCTGGTGGCTTTGAAACAGAGCCAGGTCCCTTGGAAAGCTGTACTCTGCACGATATTTTGATTATGACTAATGCATGTGTTGTTTTGGGGGCTTTTTCCTCTTCCAAAAGGTCAGTAATTTTAGTCCTTCAAGATCTTTCTACTTATGACTTTAACACCAGTTCTTCAGTTTCCTCTATGCTATCTATGAGTGTGACAGCAGCCAAAGAGAATTAACTTTTTCTCTGGAGTTTAACTGACATTTTTGTTGCCCATGGCAACACTGATGAGGATTGAATTTGATAAATGAAAAACTGATTCCAGGCCAGCTTTTGCTAATTTAGGTATTTAAAAATATTGTTCAGCATGTGCTTATCTCCCCAGCTCTTGCCCAGCTATTTCCCTGTACAGCTTATACAATAGTATGTTGTTTCTCTCCCTTTCCTTCAAGTAAGCTCAGAAAATCCACGTGGCTGAAACACGTCACGGGAAATGAAGCCAATCTGGCAGCAACACTTTTGCCTCTATTTGCCCAGCAATTTTATAAGTTCTTTGCAGGGTGGAATTGGGAAAACTCACTGATGTGATCAGCAGCTGGAGAAATGAGACTGGAGACAGCTGAGGGATGACTGAGATGCCACGTGCTCCCTACGGAACCTGGGGAAGTTCTCAGGCTGGATCCACAAGAGCCTCGGTGTCTTCTCAGGTGTGTGGAAGGCAGTTCACAGCCCAGGGGGGACAGTGAGTTGGCCCAGCCCCTCTCCAGCACACGTGGGCTATGTGATCAAGGAACAGGCCACTTAACCCCTGCTGGTTTGCAGGAAGTACTTCAGGGATGATGAAAACTTAAACTCTTTCCAACTGGTGGAAGGGAAATAACGTGGCAGTGAGCCTGGCTTGCTGCAGGTTGTCTCTAAGCAAAGAAAGCTCTATGACTTATGAAGTGTAAACCCAGATTACTAAAAAAATTAACAGCCAACTGATAAAAAGATGCTTTGGTTAGAATAAAAAAAGAATTCATGCCCACTGTATTTCAATGCTGATTCCTCCTTTAGTTTATATCCTTTGCAGAGCCTTGACCTTTGGATTGTTGAGGAACCACCCAATTAACAGTTTCCTTTTCCAGTTTGTCAACAAACCCATGTGAAAATTCAAGGGCAGTTCCTCTGACAGGTGGCAAATATTGACAGATAATGTTATAAAAGTCAGTTGTCTCAGGTTCAATCAAAAGCCAAAAAATAACTGTTCCTAATGAAGACAAGGAAGAGGTAGGAGGAGAGTTTACATGTAGTGGCAGTTTGTGGGTTCTCAGAGTCAGATTTCTCCATTGGAATGTGCTCTTAAAACAGTTGTAGTGGAAACAGCAAAACCTCTCCAAACCCCATCCAGCTCCCAGATGTGAATCCCAGCACTTTCTGTGTGGAAAATAGCAGGGAAGGGCAGTAAAAATGTCTTTTATCCCAAAGCCAGTTGTAACAGCTTCTAATGTAGTCTGATTGCTAACCAAGCAAAAGATGGGAACAAATAAATACTTTAGGATTTGTTTGTTTTGTGTTATTTGGAAAATTGTTCCTACCCTTTTATAGGCAGAGACACTTGCAGAATTATTACCAATCTCTTTGTACAGCTGGTACTACAATTATTAGGTAATTTGATCGATGCTTCCCATCCTTTTGCTGGAGTCTACAGCTGCTGTATCTGTGGAGAAGGGTGGAAGTATCTGAAGTTATGTCTTAAGTGCATTTTCTTCCTCTTTTTTTTTTTTTATACTTTCCCTAAATCATTAGGATTTGCCCACCAATGCACAGAAGATTTAATGAGATTTTGGAACTGACTCAGAGGAGCACCTGAAAGGTTTTCACATATGAGGTAAATAAGTGTCATGAAGTTGAAGGATTTGCCTGAAATCTCCAGTCTGTTATTTCTGTGATGCTCCAAAGGTTCCACATTGCTTGGCAAGAAATTAAAGGAAAAAAAAAACCAACAACTGTGCTGCTGTAGAAAACATTAATGAAAAAAACCAACTGAACAAAAAGGCCAGGATAAGGCTTGAAAGGTGGTTTTGTGTTCTTAGCATGCTGGTTTTCACATTAGAGCTTTGTGTGCCCTACCAAAACAACTGAGCAGTGACACTGGTGCTGCTGAGAAAGCAACTGCATTGACTAAGATGAATTATATGCAATAGTGTTTTAGACTTCTTGAAAGAACCTACTCTAAGCAGAGACTGAGATGGAGAAAAACCTCAGACAAAGGTCATGATCCCTCTAAAACTAGAAGAAACCCCAAAGATATAATTAAGTAAAAGGCAGAAGGGCTCTAAGTCGAGAGAATTTATTTCTTGTAAGAGGATAGAAAAAGTGAGTTTTGAAAATAATTCCAGCCTCCCAGCAGCAGCGAGCTGGAAATCTGTTTGAAAGGGAAGGCACAGATTCCTTGTGCCATCCCTCATCCCACCTCCCAAGAAAAAATCCTGCTGTCCAGAGCAAGGAGTCTAATCCACACACAGATATTTATGCACTAAAACACTGTGCTTTGACCTCCATAAAGGTTTAGTGAGTGAGGCACAACAGATCCTGTCCTGGTAAACCCTTTGGAATGGGACAAAACAGGGGGAAGGCTGGGGATGCAAGGACAGTAACTTGTGGGGTTTTCCCTGTCTGCAGGGAAGTGAAGATTGTCAGGACCAAACCTGATTATCTTGGAAAGCAGGGTACAGGAGGGGAATTCAGCACGGCAGGGAGGAGTTAGATATTGCTATTTTCACTAAAAGATCGACGAGTTTCTAAAACAGCTGAAGGCAAGAAGCTTCACTTGACAAAACAGTCGTAATCCACTGCCCGCAGGAGTCAATGGGAAAGCAAAAATGGTTTTAATCCCTCGTGTCTGTAACTGCAATGCCCGAGCTCTCCTTGAGATGGTGCAGGTGACTCGCCCTGACCGGCTGCTGCTCTGCCAGGGACCAGGGACAGCAAAGGAAAGTGCTAATTACAGCCCTCGGCTCCTCAGTTTGCTGTTTATTTTCTTTTCAATTGTTTGGAACAAGTCTCTGAAAACTGGCAGCCGCTTCCAGCAAAGTGATGCTGCTCTAACAATCAGCTTTTCTTATTTGTCCCCATTCTGATTTTCCACTTCTTTTTCCCCTCCAAACCTGCCACCTCCACTATGGCACTATTTTGTTGACCTGTGATTTATGACTTTTTATAAAAAAATTGCGAAGGGCAGGAATGAAGAAATCCTGGATGAAAAAAGTGGAGAAAAAGCATATCAGAGGTGGAGTGAGGTATTTGGAGTAGTAGTAGGAAGAAAGGAAATGACTTATTGAGCTTACTGAGGCAGCAAAACGCCTGGGGAGAATTTGTGCTCCAAGCTTTAAAACAAAGCTAAACCTTATTTCTTTATTAAAACAATGCAAATATTCAGCAGTAGAAATTATTCTTTTCAAGCCCTTTTACTGTGATAATATCCCAGTCCTTCCTATGCTTCTGTAAACTACAGACCCACCTGTAAACTTGTAATTTACTGACTCCCTCAAAACTTCCATCCTGTTTGTTGCCTCCATCCTCATCACCATCCTGTTATTTACAGCTGTAACAACATCCAACAAAACTGCCCCTTACCAGGAAAGCTTCCCTCCTTCTCCCTCTGCCTTCATTGGATCCTGCTCTGAACGGATCAGAGCAGACAAATGTAGCCACCCACCTCTAGGAGGAAAACTGAGCTGCAGCCCTGGTGAAACATAAAGTTTATTTGGGTAAAGTGACGCAAAAATTCTTAAAGAGCTCTTTGGCAGCAGATTATCTGGAAATCAGACCATGTGAGGGGGGCTGGTGTACAAAAACCTCACCAAGGTGCTGAGTTGCCCACAGGCTGAGCTCCCGAGGCTGAAGTAAATGTGGGTGAAGGTCCCTCGGGCTTGGATAACTCCAAGGGAAGCGCTTCAGACCGACCCCAAACACAGGTATTTTATAATTTTGTCTTTAACACAGTGATGTCTAAAGTACTTTAGGAAATTCAGACAGACTCTGAGACGGCTCCTCCTCAGAGCCGACCTCCTGCAGCAGCAGACACTGGAGTTTCATTAACTTTCCTTCCTCGTTGCCTCTTTCAACTTCAGTTATAAAATCTGAAACGCTAATGACAGGCTGAAACCTGAACTGTAGATTTTGTTCCTTTTTAAGGCAACTCTCAGGTCTTTGATTAATTTTTAAAACATCAGGAAAATGTGCATCTAACAAAGCTTTGGAGGTGGAAAAAGATACGCTGATTTTTGGTGGAAGTTTGCTTTGATTTTTTAAAACTTTTAATGCTTTCTCTTGCTTTTCTGCTGTGACATGCTCTACTCTGTCATGTTCAGGCACTTGTCCAGCAGTTATGAGTGTTGGGAGTCAAATGCCTGTAAGCAGAAAATGTTCCAACAATCTGAAATAAAGAGTTCTGGCAGTTCACATAACTGCATTACAAATGTAAAGCTATTCAAAATTTACAAAAAAAGAATTAAACTATAAGGAAAAATGAGGGAAAGCAGCAGAATCTGAAGGGGGCAGAAAAAGAAAAAAGTCAATGCAAGTTGTTATTTATTTTGAAAGGGTAAAGTGAGGTTTGTTAACCATATGAAGTTATATTTTAAAAGGTAAACTGTTCTGGCACAGTAAATTATCGAACTCAATGGGACAGATTTATTGTAAGTAATAAATCTGAGGAGCATGTCCTATGTATTTATAGTCAAACACGTTTACTGAGACCAACTGGCTTGCTGGGTTAGTTTGCTCAAAAATGTGGACATTTAAGTAAGGAATGTAATATAACTGAATATAGGCAAGGACAACATGTTTTGACGTGTTAAGAAAGCCTGGGGGGGAAAGGATCATGCATTTAATGGGTCTGGGTTCTTGGAAATGTTGTGGCATTTTTGCAATGTGGGTTGTCAGTTGTCAGACTTTTACCAGGGAAGGGCTCAAACACTTGGGATGCATCTTCTGGTGCTTTTGATGGCGAATTGACCATAATTTTCTTGGAGAGTTCTTTGCAAAGTTGTCGTACAGCAAGGGACAGCTGCGGGTCCATTTGCTAATTGTACAGGGCACGATGAATTTCAGACGGTCAAAGGAAGAAAAAATGCCCTAAGAATGGAATTTAATAACCCCCCTAAATTATTCCCACACATGGAAAGAGCTTAAATACACTGCACATTTCCTGCTTTCCTCCATGGAAATATAAACTGCTGAGTTTTCACTGGTAACAGTATTAGAGCCTGAAACGTTCTGTCTGTGTCCTGGTCTCCTTTCTGTTGCTCAGGTTTGAGCTCTTTTCCCAGCCTGTGTGTTTGCAGCTCTGTTGATCTCTATCTTGTAGAACTGTTACAACGTAATTACAACATAACGAAGCCCATCTGTGGGACAAGTGTTTCATAAAGAACTTAAGGAGAACTTGGAGCCTGAATAAAGGGCTGTAACTTGGAGATAGCCATTAACAAGCCACCTTCAAAGAAACATCATCTGTTACTCAGGAATGGTGCTGTATTTATTTGGTGATGTTTGCTGTGTTACGACTCGTCCTTCAAGCTTATATAAATAATTTGAGGAAGAATACAAAAGCAATATCTTCCCTCTAAGCTTATCTGTTTCCTTGCACTACACACAGACACTCTCAAGCCACAAAATGCATTTCCCCCTTCCTGTTCTTTAAATGACTGTCACCAATTTGGCAGTATTCCCACTAAAATACAATGTCTGCCTTCTCAACAAATTTTTAAAGGTAAAAATCTCTCTTTCCTGCAGGCTTTTTAATTTCTGACTGAAACATGGATAAAATTGCAACACAAAACTCACAGCACAGGTTTATATTTCCCCAATACTGTCGCTTTCAGAAGCACTGTTTTCCCACCTTACCTATATTTAGCCTTTTCTGGGAATACAGGAGTTAACTGGAGAGAGCTCGCTCCTTATGCCACTCTTTGGGAAACACTTTTGTTCACCCAGGAGGGTCATTGTCTCACCAGCACTACTTGCTGAGTACACTTGGACTCTGCTTTAGTATGTGAGCAAGCCCTTGGAGACCTGCAAATATTCATATACAGGATCCATGGTCACCTACATACTGCAAATCTCCTGTGAAACATTCACATGTTAGTGCTGTGCCAAAGCACCCAATCCAGCAACATTTAAAATCACCAGCACTGGGATCAGACCTGTTACAACTCACTGGAACATAAATTTCAGTGGGTTTTGATCACTCTATCAAAACTCAGTTCAACTAGAGAAGAATATCTCAAAAAAAACCCCCTGAACAAATCAATGTTCAGTTGTTGAGGGATGTTCTAGATATCAGCTTAAGTCTGCTTTGTACCTAACACCCCAATTCTGCAGGTACCAATTATATGAGTATCAGGCTTTGAAATCTGAAATGCAAACTGTCACACTTTCTGTCAGCTTGCCTAATGGAGACAGGATGGAAAAGGATATTCTAGGTATTAATTTTTTAATTAAATCAGTGTAACTAAACACACTCAAAATCAAAAGGCACTAATTTTTTTGAATGATGAACCTAAATATGACTCGTGTATGACATGAGTCCAGCACCTGGAAACACCCAGGTATGTGTCTGTCAGAGGGTCACAGCTCATATTTTGGCTCAGAGGTGAGAATGGTGCCTCCAGGTAAACAGCACAGCCTTCTCCTGCGTGGGATAAATGAGTTCTATCTCATTCGTAGTCATACAAACTTCTTGTTTGATATTCCAGATAAAAGTAATTTCCTTGGACTTTTTCCATTTATGTACAAGCCTGTGTGAACCGCAAGGTGTAACTGCAGTCAGGCAGATATGGAACTTCAACCATCTGAAGTACTTAGTGATAAAAGTGAGATTTAGGTCAAGTTAACAGTTTGATTCTGTTTGCCAGCACCCTGGGCTCACTCTTTGTCTTGAGGTTCCAAGTGCTTTAATTCCCTGCAAGTCCCTGCCTGCGAGCGGCCGGAGCAGTGGGAGGGACGGTGGGACCGCGAGTTCTGCTGCAGGAATGCGGCTGTAACCCGGTCAGTGGCTGCTTCTCCACAAGCTTTGCTTTGTAAAATCAGCACGTGGAATAAGAACATAATTCACATGAAAGTGAAATATAGACAAATCTACGAATTTTGTGGCTGTCATGACTTCTGCAGTCAGGTACAGGGGGCTGGACAAGCCCTGGGAGCTGCCCAGGCACTGCAGCCACACCTCAAACACAGAAACCTCCAGGTGACTCGAGGCTTTAAGATTTGCCTCCTTGAAGCATCTGCTGTTTGCTGTATCTCAACCTCATTGCTTTACTTTCCTAGACACACTAAAAGTAATTTTCTCCTTTAAAAAAAAACAGCTGGAGAATCACTTTGTTTTAAAGTGCTGGAAGGATTTGTTTACTCTGAGGCAGAGCATTAAAAGCAAGGGATTCCCACACCTCCAGGAGAGGTCATTGCTCCAGAAATAAACAGGAGATGAGCCACCAGTTGTGCAAAAGGAAGCAGACCCCAGGCCAGGGATGCTCCTCGAGGATTGCTTTGCTAGAGGCAAAGGAGCCGAATTTGTGCATCAAGGCTTTTACATCATTTGTGTCATGCAGGGCTTTTACATCTACAGTGCTGGTTCAAGTTTAGCTCTGTGTGGGAGATAAATAGATATAATTTAATTAATATTTGGCTGATGTGAACTGCGTTGGTGGCTCCAGCCAAGCATGTACAAACACATGTCTTCAATTATCCATCTGGGTGTTTTCAACAAACAAGCAAAGCAGGGAATAGTTGTGGTGGACACGCTGCATGTTCCAGGGTCACTCCTCTTTAGTTACTCTTTGCACAGGGAGGGTGCCATTCCCAGCCTGGCACCTTCCACGTGCTCTTGAACGGCACAGAAATACTGAGGTGAAAACTGCCCTGCAGAATAATCTCTGGGCAGGGCTACTGAAGGGAGACAAAGCACTCAGGGCCTCCCGAAGGAGCAAAGTCACGTCCACCAAACACAGATCAAACCAAAATGAAGGCACAGATATCTGTCCTCTTCCTCTTCTTGGCTTTGCTTTCTCTTCTGTGGCTAATTATGGGTGATAAGAAGCCAAGGTGCAGTTATGTAAGAGCAACCTTTGCAACAGCTCAGATTGAAAATAGGTAATAAACTGCCATTTCTGAGATTGTTCACTGTCATCAGTCAAGCACCTGAACTACTGAGAGATCAGCACAGAGAAATGGAGGCTGAAGTGGGCAAAAATTTCCCTGGATGTCCTCCCTGCTGTCCTAGCATACCTCCCAACCCCAGAGCTCCAGTTCTGCAGCTGTTCACTGTTTGTAGCTGTTACAGTTCCTTCAAGTGTTTTTTTTCTTGAGTTGTAACAAAGCAGGGGAAAAAGTACATTCTCCCGCAGTTTTTACAGCGTAACAAAACCTTCTGATTCTGTAACTGTTCTGTTTTCATGTGCCAACCATGCCCCCATGAACACCACTGCATAGCCCTGGAGTCTGTCACTCCAGAGATTTCCCAGGATAACTGACAAGCTGTAGTTCTGTTTCAGAAAAAAAAATAGTTCCATCTCAAGCCCATGAAAATTCACATGCCATTTTGCATCTTTGAGGCTCAAACTACTGAAAATTCTATAAAAATATTTCAAATAATGTTCCATTTCTTTCCTGTGGTCTGCAGAAGACCAGAAGGAGCTTAGATCTGGATAGACAACGATCCTGATTGTCACAGATCTTGTGACAAGAGGACCTCCCCTCAGTGAAGAAAGCACAGAGAAATACCTTTGTGCAGAAACAAAGGGCTTTGCAAACACAGTAAGCGTTTAAACCTCAGGTATGGGAAAATCAGTCCCAAGAGATAATGCAGTTGAATCAACATCCTTTACTGCTTTCCCATTTATGGATCAGAGGTGTAAAGTCCAGAAGGGCTCAGGTTACTTTTCCATATTCCTACTTTATATTTAATATGCTCTATACAAGGGGAGGATTGGCTGTGGCCTTTCCTAGGAGTTCTGTGTTGACAGCAGTGGTGGTAGGACTGTTGCCATCTAATAAGCTCTTTTGGGACATTTGGAAGGTTTTGGACTCCAAAGACATTCGGGTTTTCTGGTCCTGCAGGTAAAACAGAAACTCCTGTTCTTGATGTTTCAATCTTTGTGGATGATTAACTAATGGTAGCAAAGTACGTGCTCCTGTAAAAATTCAAATTAATGATGCATTGCTTGCATTATTTGGGTAAAGACAGAAGGTAAGCCTGGAGAATTAGAGATTCCTGCAAGTTATAAACAACACCTTCAAGTGACTTTTATCTCGAGAACATCCTCCTGTTTGCTCTGCAGTTTGATAACTTTCCTTCTCTTTCTACTTGAACTGAGAAATGTTTAGAAGAGGTTTAACAAGTTGTCTTTGCAAAAGGCTCAAAGCTGGGAAAAACTTGAGTTTTAATAGCACTGGTAATCAGCAAATTCTAGAAATAAGCAAGTAATATCCCTTCTCTGCTTTAGTTTTTCCTCCAGTTAAAAATGAAATAATGCTTATTGTTCTGCTAGGATGTGACAATAGTAGTTACTGTTGTAAAATGCTTTGAAAAGTTAAAAATAGATGTAATTGTAATAATTTAATCTGTAGTGGCATTTAATCTGTGGTGTAGATTGTGTGACTCTTTGCTGGCTATAAAGCAGGGTTACTACCCCAGGGAATTTACAGCACAGAGGATCAACTCCTGTGCCAGGGTTTTGTTGGGTAAAGGCAGTTGAGTATTTACATCATCTGAACGAATGAGCAGAAAACAAAGCATAACCTGCTGAATCACAACTCTTTTTCTGTTCTCTTTGTTCTGAAGGAAAAGTTATTTGTGTCACATTTTTTCTTTATTTCAGGATGGTTTATTTCCCTTGGATTCTGTTTTTAGCACATATGAAGAGGGCAGGTAAAGCCAGGGACTCTCCCGGTGCCTGTTTTTTTGCCCACTACCCTTCCTGGGGCTGGAACCACAGTGTCAGCAGATCCAAAGAGAAGGAAAGATGCTTTTATCTGCCCAAGGAGTCAAATAAAACTGGGGACAAGTTTTATCCTTTAGACTCACGTGTTAGTTCTTAATCAAAAGAATCAAATTGAAGTTTATGATCTTTTCTTCTTGCTATTAGTGTTGACTGAGCCTCAAGTGTTAATTGATGCAAAACCAGTGAGATTTAAATACTTTTCTGAAGTTTCATTCAAGCCTTCTAGGTCTGCTGCTAAACATAGCAGACACTGTGGGATTCTCAAGAAAGGTAGTCATGAAATGTAATTTTTATAACCATGGTTATCTCATATTTCTTTAAATAATTCTTTCCCCTTCATACTGGGTGAATCTAGAAATTGCCACAGGATGAGTGGATCAGTCACAGCTTATGAAAATGAATGTCCAAGTCACACTAAACTCTGACCTCAGTTTGCAAACTGGGAGTCCCACAGGCTCCCTGGGTGTGAATCCAGTGCTCAGAGAACAGAAGCCAGCAGGACTGTGACTGCCTGTGAGGTGTCCAACAATGCCCAAAGTCCTGCACACCTGCCTGAGAGGGTGTAATGCAGGTACACCGACCTCTGCTGTGGAAGAGGATGACTGTTTCCTTCCTTTCTCTGGACAAAATCCTGGATGGATTATCAGCTCTGTGATTCACATTGCATGCTGTGATGGCTAATTACTTCCGATGGTATTTTAATCACAGAATCTGTCAGTTGTAACTTGAAAGTTCCCAGAATCATAGATTTGTAACTCTCTTTTAATTTCTTAGATGATGCCTGTGCCTTCAATCTGATGGACTTAAGTATGGAAGAGGAATTCTAAAAGTGGTGGGAATAAAAGTGTGGGAAGACAAGCCACGAGGGGACTCTGTGCTGCTGCCTGTCTGCAAGTGATCAGAACAAATCCCGGAAAAAATGGAAAAACAGGCAACAAGCAATGAGACTGAGCCACTGACTTCCAAGAAAGATGTCTCAGACTGTAACAAAGGAGAAGATTGTAAAGAGAACAGACTTCTGGTCAGGAACCCTAAATCTGCCCTGCGGCTGGTGGAGGATGGCAATAAAGTCCATCCCAGCCAGGGGGATAAAGGGGAGGCTGCTCAGATCTCAAATGGTTACTCAGCAGTTCAGAGCTCGGCCCCCTGCAATGGGATGGGAGAGGTGGAGGATACCCAGGGCACGGCCCCAGCAGCCACAACCACCACCACAACCACCACATCCACCACCTGTGGGGCTGAAGGGCAGCAGCAGCTGATGGAGCTGGAAGAGAGAGAGACCTGGAGCAAAAAAATTGACTTTCTCCTCTCTGTCATTGGATATGCAGTGGATCTGGGAAATGTGTGGAGATTTCCCTATATATGCTACCAAAACGGAGGAGGTCAGTGCCCAGCCCTGTTGGCTGTTTCCTAATGCTGAACTTCCTTGCTTTATAAATGGATGACTCAGTGGCTTTTAAATTATCATGTGTACCAAATAACCAGAGGGAAATGACTTACTTTTTAAGCAGACTGGAAAACTTAAATATTGGGATAGGATAACATTAAGACGAAAGAAAAACTAGTCAGCAGGATTTAAAAAATCAGTATACAATTAGAAGCTGAGAGCAAGCTATGTGCAGAATCACCCTCCAACAGGAAACACTCAATCCCTGTCCAAAGGAGTATTTTAAAGTCAGATAAACCAACATGTCAAAACCAACTCATGAGGAAGGCGAGGTCTTAGACTGGCACAAGAGACAAAATATAAATCTAAAATCTACTCAAGGAGATCTTGGAAAGGACTTTTGTCTCCTTGATGTAACAAAGGCATTTTACTGGCTAAATAAATTATTTTATCTGCAGCCCATCTCACAGCTGTACCCACTGTAGCCAGTGGAGTCTTGGTGAATCCTACATGTACTCACTGCAGAAATGTGAGAAATTTGGCCTGGGTGCTGCTTCTTGTTCACACAGCTAAGTAGTTACTCTCACAAGAAATCCCACAGTAATTCAGTGTGGTGCACTGGCTATAGAGAGGATATGCATTTTCCCTGTGAGATAAAAGGAACTCCTGTTTCTGGAGTGCTGGTACTGTTGGAAGAGAAGTCCTATGCAGAGTTACAATCATGTGCTTTCTCTCTTGCAGGAGCATTCCTCATTCCTTACACAATCATGGCCATCTTTGGAGGGATTCCCCTCTTCTATATGGAATTAGCACTAGGACAGTACCACAGGAACGGGTGTATTTCCATTTGGAGAAAAATATGTCCTATATTCAAAGGTAAAGAAGGGAAATGGAACTTTATGAATAACTGGAAAATTTTCCTATAAAGATGAAATTTCTGGGAAAAAAAAGGAAAATCTCATAAAACTCTTAAGGCTTGTTCTACACAAGATTTTGGTTTTTTACAAAGAAAGCTTTCCTAAAACTCTGTGTACATCTGCACGTGTGTGTACTGTTGTACACACCTATAATATGCAACTCTCAAATTGATTAGAGGCCAGTCCACTTCTCTGACCCAAGCCTGAAAATATAAATAAAAGATAGGAAAAGGGGGAGTTCTATATGCTCATTTACTGTTGTTCCCAGTGTTATAGCTCTGGTCTTGTCTTTTTTGAGACTGCAAGATGTCTATTTCTAAATTCCAGAAATTTAGGAACAGACAAAAAAAATCTCTACAAGCATGTTCTGTCTTGTCTAATGATGTTTTAGTGGGATCAGATCCTGAGTGTTTCTGAAGTCACATGAAATTCCAGCATTGTAAACACCTGGGAGGGTTAAGTCCTGCAGAGCTGCCCTAGAAAGTCACTAATGGTAGTTGATGTGATAAACAATTCCTTTTATTTTTGGCCTAAACTTTACACTGACTGCATGTAATTATTTCCTGCCTCACTAGGAATTGGCTTTGCCATCTGTATAGTAGATCTTTACGTAGCCTCCTACTACAACACCATCATGGCTTGGGCCTTTTACTACCTCATCTCCTCCTTCACGGCGGAGCTGCCCTGGACCAGCTGCACAAACCCCTGGAACACAGGCAACTGCACCAACTACTTCAGCAAGGACAACGTCAGCTGGTCCGTGCACTCCGTCTCTCCCGCAGAAGAATTTTATACGTAAGTGCATGTAAGTGAGGACGGTGATAGGAGACAGTCTGGTGGAGCAGGGAGCAAGCTCTTCCTTGGAGGAGAGCAGGGCTTAATGTTAATGGTGGCCTCTTCTGAACCATTAAAATCACTGAGTATTTGTAGGTTACGTAAGCTTAGAGTGTATGGGGGTACTCAGCTGTCATCACTTATTATCCCCGACGTACCATTAACATCAAACTTTCAGCTAAAACAAAATAAATCTGAGATTACATGACTCCAAAGGCTACTTATCAAGGCCTCATGATTCCCTGTAATGCTCACACCACGGTATGGGACTGTTCAAAGCAAACTTAGGGTAAGCATTTATTAAAAAAAAATATCTCTACTGTGTTTTTCTTTCCTCTTTCAGCCGCCAAGTTCTACAGGTGCACAGGTCTGAGGGGCTGGATGACCTGGGGGGCATCAGCTGGCAACTGACCCTCTGCTTGCTGTTAATCTTCACCATTGTGTACTTCAGCATCTGGAAAGGGGTCAAAACATCTGGCAAGGTGAATGCAAAAGCAGGATAAATCAACTTGGTACAGGAGAGTCTAGAGGCAGTTCTAAATGAGCCAGTGAACTGTCAGGGAATTGTCTCAGTGTTCATGACAGGGATTATAGGCTGATTATTTGGGAATGCTGCAGAGTGACTGCTATTGTTATCCAAGTAATATATGACACCAGTAAGTTACACCCTTGTTCTCTGGGCAAGAACAGCCCTGCCAAGGAAAGCGGGTACAGATGTGCACACTGCCTGTCTGCAGACCTCCAGAACAGCTCATGTGAAGATGTTATAAATCCTAAGAGATATAATATAACTATCTCATTCTTATTACCCCTGTTAAATTTCTACCCGTGGCAAATGCTGTGTTACCATTTTCCCTCCCAGGTGGTTTGGGTGACTGCCACGTTCCCTTACATCATCCTCTTCGTCCTGCTAGTGAGAGGTGCAACTCTGCCTGGGGCTTGGAGAGGTGTCCTCTACTACTTGAAACCCGACTGGCAGAAACTCCTGGCCACTGAGGTAAGAAACAGCATCAAAGGGCAGAGATTTGCTTTTAGCCTATCTGTGTATATCAGCACATACATACTTCAGTGTCCAAAAGAGCATGACTGAACAGATGTCTCAGCACAGGCTTAAAAGCCTGACTCCATGCTCTTGTTTAAACAGTCCTGCTATTTCTTCCATAATTATGAAGAACTTTAAAGATGAGAGCCCACCATCAGTGGCAGAATTCCCATACAGTGTGTGAATAGAATTAGCAATATGATTTGAAAGAAAACAAATGACCGGTTTTTCATTAGAAAAATGGTGAACAGGCTGTGGAGGAGGAATAAATCAGACAGGCCTGCATACACCTCCAAAATCTGGAAGGAAAGGAGGAATGAGGACGAGACTGAGTGAACAAACAAACCCCAGGCACTCCAGTATCTGATTCAGCCTTGAACTCCGTGGATGACAAATAGTCCATCAGGCCCAAGGCTGCACTTACTTCACTGCCTGTGAAAGTGTCTAGTGAGGAGGGTGATGGAAAAAAACCCAAAGCAATAAATACTACAAACACATAGATTAAAAATTTCTAATGTTTGCAAGTCTGGTGCTGCCCAGCTGATATGGAGGGTTTTGAATGAAGAGGAAATGAAAAGACACCAGTCTCTGATAAAGCAGCATCTCCAATAAGGACCCACATCTTCTGAAAAAGCAATAAAGGGCATTGATATTGTATTGGATGTATCTGGAGTGAGGACAGCAGATTGCAATCTGTGTGCTGGACGATGACAGAGCTCTGTCTGGGTGATACAGGATGGCCTCACACGATGGAAGAGAATATTAGAAATGAGTTGCAATGAACTCCATGTTTCAATCAAAAGAGGATAAATGAATGAGGACTTTCACCTTCAGAAAGAGAACTGATATTGTACTTTAGAACATTACTCATTAGGGCTGTGGCCACTTTTCAAGTACAACAGGCTTTTCATAAGAAGATCATCACACTTGCATCTGTCACGGCTACAACAAAGCTGAATTGAGTCCTAAGGACCAGAACTGCACCCACACTGTCAAACGGATTTCCACAAAGGAAAAATCTGGACAGTGTTCAGCTACTACTTAGCCTGGAGGACACAAAGCCAAACACGGGACTACTCCACAGCACACAGAGCTTGGAGGACTCCAGACTGCAAAATCATGGATAGGAAGTTCTCTATACAAAAGTGTGCAAAACTTGTGTTAAACTGATTACGAGGCAAATCACTGAATTAATCTAAAATGCTGCCAGAAGTGAAACTGCCACAACAGTGTAGAGATAAAAGAAGCACTCATAGGCACCAAAATTAGAGTAGATATTTACAGCTCTCACAGATCCATAATAATCATTCATATTTCAACATCTCTCCTAACAAAGTGTCAGTTAGACCAGGACTAGGACATAGGCAGAGCACTGAAAAATCCTTTTGGAGCCCTAAGTGATATTCTGAATATGCCAAACTCATTCAATCTGTTTCATGTCATTTTTTCTTTATTTTCAATATTTTTCAGGTTTGGGTGGATGCAGCAGCTCAGATTTTTTTCTCCCTGGGACCAGGTTTTGGGGTCCTATTGGCTTATGCCAGCTACAACAAATTCCATAACAACTGCTACCAGTGAGTTCTACCTTATTCTAAAAGTAAAATCGAGTTAAAAAATGTAACTGTGGGTACTGATGAAAAAGAAACATGGTGCTGGTGAAAGGCACTGAAATGTCAGACCTGTGTACATACAAATGAGACAGAAGTGTAACAGAACAGAAATCCTAATTGCAAGAACCTGCAAAGCAGGTTCTCTAAAGCATTTCCCATCTGTTGTGCCCACCTTAAAGAGAAATCATTTTCACCAATTACAGCAGAGGTCTAAAGTGTAGAAAACTGTGGCAACAAAATGGACTAAACCCCTGCCAAACTATCACACTGTAATTATTTAATCTTAGGAAATGACTTCATTTTCTTGAGCTGAAAGGCAATTTATAGTTGTTTCCTTGTTAAATTGAAAAAATTCTATTTCTAACTTGTGAAATAAAATTCTCAATTCTTTAATATTCCTATAGTAATTCCTATTCTTTTAAAACAGCCAGCATTCAATCTAGTGTCAGACTAATGTTACAGCACCTGTTTGAATTTGAAGAAGGAAAAGTAGTCATGGATTGTTTTTTTTTTAAATTTCTTTCAAACCTGCTGCTTGTTTTTTTCCCCGTATTCTCCTAGTTTTTCTAGGAGTCTGTCCAGACTGTTAACTCACCCCATCTGGTTGTAAATTACTCTTTGCAGCAGATGCACATTCCCTGATGTGAGTTAGGTCTTCTGTTGCAGAGATGCTCTGGTTACCAGCACCGTGAACTGCGTGACCAGTTTCGTGTCTGGATTTGTCATCTTCACCGTGCTGGGATACATGGCTGAGATGAGGAACGAGGATGTGTCAGAGGTTGCCAAAGACACCGGTAGGTTAATGCTCTTACACACCTCAAACTGCTTCTAAGAAAGGATATATTTGTGTGTTACCTTCTAGATCGAGAACAGCCCAAGTGAGGAGAAATATTTAGTATTGATTCAGGATACTGACTTTATGATATGGGCACTGTTACCCAGTAGAGCTAAAAAATTAGCCCATAAATACAGCACATACAAGTCATATTGCAGCTTCACACACATGGTAACAACCTGTGGGGAGTTTTGCCCTGGGAGATAACGTCTCAGTGACCCAGCCTGCCCCCCCCTGCAGCAGCACTGGCTGACAATTATCCCAATTCTCTGACACCAGGACCCAGCCTGCTCTTCATCACGTACGCCGAGGCCATTGCCAACATGCCAGCTTCCACCTTCTTCGCCATCATCTTCTTCCTGATGCTGCTCACGCTGGGATTAGACAGCACGGTGAGTAGTGGGGCTCCCAGACCCTCCATGTATGGCCTCAGCCCCCCAGACAGCACAGAAACAGAACTGCAAACACTGCACTGTCACTGGGGGGGTTACAGCAGGATTGGCAACTCCAGGTGCAACTATTACACCAATTTTTGCCTAAATATAATTAAATGATTTGTCACTGTCATACTGTGACAACTCCTAACAGACCCAGAAACACAACCAAAGCACTTGATGCACAAACCCCTGGTTGAATGTGGCCTTCCAGGCTCCTTCTCGTTTGTAAACCTACAAAGCAATTATTAAATTCTGGAAGTTTTTCTCACAAATGGGATTTTAAAGGCGGGAACTGGAGGTGGGAATTCTCAGTGGCACTGTGAGGAGGAGATACACTAAAAGCTTTTGATGTGAGCCTGGTTTTACAGATGGAGAATTAGCTCCTTCCAGCAAGGCTGAGCTCAGCTGATTTAACCATCTTGGTTCTACTGAATCACCTCCCACTTGTCCCCACCCGAGTGCCTGTAACACAGAACTGCCTCTGGATGACAGTCCATTCCTGCAGATACTTGAAGACTAAATCCCCACCCTAAAGAGCTTTAAAGAGCTTTCTGAGGAGACACTTGTCTAAACAGCAGCCACACCACCTCTATAGCAGAACAAAGCCCCAGTGTTTCTGTGCTGTAAAGCTCCTTTAAGTATCGAAACACTTTCAAGCAGGTAACACTGCCCTCTATTTTCCAGTGATTTTTCCATGCTTTTCAGTTTGCAGGACTAGAGGGAGTGATTACTGGAGTACTGGATGAATTCCCACATGTCTGGGGCAAACGCAGGGAATTGTTCGTCCTTGGCCTGATCGTTGTTTGCTTTTTGGGGTCACTGGCAACCCTGACATTTGTGAGTATTTCACCCACTCCCAGCCCTCCTCACTGGCAGTTTCCTGCAAAGGACATCTTGGAGAGGGTGGTATTTTTTCAAGAGAGTTTCAAGACATCAGATTAAATCTCCAGCCTGTGATCTTTATACACTAGAAATTTGTTACTTGGAATAAATGTGAACACTATTTCACTAGGAAATGTGTTGCAAAATGATCCTACTGCAACACATCATAAATGACACGGCTGCTCCAGCTGCTGCATCAGTCAGCAGACAGCCCTCCACATTTTGTGTGTGGTTTACTTCTTGTTCCCAGAAACTCCATGTTTAAAAATAACACGAATTGTTATAACTTCCCCAATGTTTAAAATGTATTTTGAATTACAAAAATTATCCCAAATGATCTGCTAGAAAATGCTGTAGTTGACTGTTGCAGTTCTCCAAAAACTTCTAGTAATGAATTTCCTGGATATCCCAGAAATCATTAGTCACACCAAAGAGTCCCTGTGGGGCTTGTGGATTTCATTCTCACAGTAAGAATTTTTTGAATAATGAGTGTAATGGCCATAAGGGAAAAAGAAAAAAATACTTGGCTTTCCTGTCATGTTTCGCTCCACTTGCTCATTTATGTGTAACTTCCTTCTCATTTAAAGTGTTTGCTCTACAAGGATGATTAGTCCCTCCCCAAGGAGCCTCCTCCTTCATGATTCTGGACCCCAAATGGGAAGAAAGCAAAGCAACACTTTATTTATTTCCTGTTCAGTTGCTATAACTCATGTTGGAGAAAGATGCCATCATAGAAGGCAGGCAAAAGCCATCCTGCCAACCACCACCAAACCCCACTTTGTTCAGTAAAATCCAGGTAGAACTGCCAGCAGGTTTTAGCTTTTCTGCATGGCAACCCCACTGGTGAGGCATGTCCACAGAGAGCAAGCAGATCACCAAGGATTTCCCTGGCAGGAACTGCCACAAAGGGACAGAACTGAGTGAATTTCCACCCCCGAGAATAAGCAGGATTTCCATCCCTGGATCCCTGGGACACTGACAATTCCATGTCCTTTCCAGGGGGGAGCGTACGTGGTAAAGCTGTTTGAGGAATACGCCACTGGCCCAGCTGTCCTGACCGTTGTGTTCCTGGAAGCAATTGCTGTGTCCTGGTTCTATGGTAGGTCTACAAACACTCCTGAGCTGCTGCAGTGCAGCATTTCCTCAGTTTCTGCAGACAAAGATCAATGATGTCTCCAGAAAAAGTTCACAAAACCTTTTTACAAACTCACTGATTACTAAATCAGTGAGAATTAATATTGTTCTCTGAGAGAAGTACAGAGACACCTAAAAGTAACAGGAGATAGAATTCAGACCAATGAAGGATTTAATATAATTAAGAGTTATAGGAACAAAACAGTCTTTGGTGCTGGATTCTGTATTTACTTGCTTGGCATAAAAAATGCTGAACATCTACTTAGGGAAAACTTAGATCTGCTGTCACCCCTCTCCTCCCACCTGTCTCCACAGGCATCACCCAGTTCTGCAACGACGTGAAGGAAATGCTGGGCTCTGCCCCAGGCTGGTACTGGCGAGTTTGCTGGGTCGCAATTAGTCCCCTCTTCCTTCTGGTGAGTTTTTCTTGGAGCTTTTTCTTTCCAGCACAAGAAAATTACCACTGAGCAAAGCAGTTCCTTAGACTCCTCAAAGCTAAATTCTGGAATTTTCTTGTGAAGTCCTTCAGTAATAATTTTCGTTGAACCAAAAAGGCTCAATTAATGATAAAGCCAAAGCAATGCTGAAAGGTCTTGTTACTAAATCACGACTTTAAGGATTTCTGTAGGTGAGTTAGCTAAGTACATCTAGGTTCTGAATAACTTTCCTCCTTCCCTCTGCTGAGCAAACTCACTTTGTTTTGTTGCTTTATGTTTATCTCAGCAAAATGAAGTAATAAAAGCTGGTGAAACACACTGTCAGAGGAGGAAAACCAAGATCAGTAAATACACTGTCTCAGCAACCGCTGACCGACTACTTCAGAATATTCCACTTAAATTTTACGGCAGTTCATTACAACCTTTATAAATCTATAATTCAGAATGGGAAATACTGCCCAAATATTTGACTTGGCAGTATTATTGATAACAGTTGAACATAAAGTGTTCATTTCCTGATTCAAAATTAGTTCACGGTGTCTTTTATTCTGACTGGCCTTAGTGGGAGCAGAGCAGGTCAAGATGGAGTTTATGAAGCACAGAACGTAGATTTAAGACCTGCAGAGTGAATTCAAAGCACTTGTAATGATCAAGGTATAATTAACAGACTTTCATTTTATTACTCCTGGAAAAAGAAGGGATGAAAAGGCTATAAATAAAAATGTGACACCACGGTAATTTTTATAGAACTGTTCTCTTTGTGATCCTAAACCAGCAAAATAAACAGAGGCACAGAGCTCTGGGGATGTGGTTACCAGGCAGAGCTATCTGCATTCCCTGTGGGAACTAACCCAAAATAAGGAAAGCTCAGAAGGAATGATGTAATTTCTATATGGAAATTTTCCTGGTAATCTTGAGTTTCTGATGATACTCTGGAAAAAACAAAGTCAGAGATCCTTCCAAAGATATTCACAAATATTATTCCTGTGATATTCAACTAAAAGTATTGGTTGCTTCATAGGACATTTCTCAGCCATGAATGATATGCTCAGGAAAATGATGCAACAGCATTAACCAAGCTGACATTTCTTTCTTTTCCTATATTGACAGAGAGCAGTGCAGTGTGGAGAGAAACTGCTTTGGAAAGCATCACTTTGGTCTTTTGTTTTGTGGTTTGTTGTTGGTTTTTTGTTTCTTTTTAAAATCCACACTAAAGTCATTCAGGATTTTTTCAGTGTCAACATGCATTGAGTCCTACTAATTTATTTATTTCAGTGCTAGGCAGGAACACAGAATTCCCCAGTGTGTGTGCCACCAAAATCCACTTATTCATACTTCATTCTTTCTCTTTTTCAGTTTGTCACCTGCAGCTTTCTGTCCAACCCTCCTGAGCTGAGGCTTTTTGAATATGATTATCCCTACTGGACCACAGTGGTGGGTTATTGCATAGGAACCTCCTCTGTCATCTTCATTCCCATCTACATGGTTTATCGGCTGATCATCACCCCAGGAACACTTAAGGAGGTATCCAAGATGCTCTGTCGCTTCTATTTGATGTTAGGAAGGAGCTGATTCCCATAAATATTATGAGTAGGTTTTTCCAGAAACTGATGACCTGGGATTTGGCTGTTCTGTTCCTGACCAGCTGAATGTTAATTGACTTCTGCCCATTCTGAGGGATTCAAGTCTCCCCAGGTCTTACTGAGGCCACTGAGATATTCTTACAAATATTATATCATGTAATTTTTTTTAAGTTCTGCTGAACTAGAGGTTCTTCCTAGAAATCACACCAGACACTGTCATGCAAAGAGGCAGTGAAAGGCTGGTTCCCTTGGGTATATCTGTAAGAAAGGCTTCTTTTTCTCTCCCATAAGATAAGATTTCTCTGCCATAAACCTGTGGCAGCCCGTGATGACAATTTTGGGATTTACTGTAAGTTCAAATAAATACCAGTTCATAAAGAATATGTTCAGTGGACTCAGGGTATCCAAGTAAACCGCAAAGTCCTAAAGCACCAATACAACAACTGCCAAGCTTTGATTTCAATTATGTTACAAATAATTAAAAAAAGCCACTGTGTACTTTTATAGCACTTTACACCCTCATAGTGCTGAAATAACAGAGGCCCGAAGTAATAAGGGGTAGTAGTTCAAGAGTAGTTTAAGTAGTTAAGTAGTTCAGTAGTTAAGTAGTAGTTCAAGAGGTGTAACTCAAAGTCATATTTTATTATAAATCTCTCTCGAAATTTCTGTCATGTATTACCTCTAAAATTAATCAATTACTAATACTGATTGCTTTCCAACAGCGTATTCTGAAAAGCATCACTCCAGAAACAGCTACAGAAATTCCCTTTGGAGACATCCGCCTGAATGCAGTATAAACACCCCGGGTTTGGGGGGAGAGGGGAGCACAAGATGTCACTTTCCCCACACTCCCCCTACCAAAGAATCCCCTTTCCAGCTGAAACAGAGGAGTTTTCCATGGAGGCTGCAGCACTGACAACAGGCATTTGGGAACGTGATGCCTCCAGCACATTCACCCAAGCAGTTCAAGGAAACCTCCTGTGCACTTCCAACCAGGCTGAACTGAGAACTGCCTCCCTCTGGAGCACGAGGACGCCTGTGTGCATGGGAACATCCCTGCTCCACTGTGGGCACCGGGGAACTGCAGCAGCCCCTCCAGGATGGGTGGGATTAGGTGTGAACCCCAGTGTGTGGCAGTGCTCCCGTACCTTCCTCAGTGTGGTCGTTCGTCCTGGGCAATGTCGTATTCGCTTTAAGGTCCTAATTGCTTCAACTACATGGAGAAATGCACAACTACTTCTGATAGCCATACATCACTCGAGCAACACAGGGTTTTATAAACTAGGAATAAAAAAAATTAGTTGATCCCCGAGGTTTGTAGTGGAGGAGACAGAGGGAGAGGAAACAATCCTGAGCAGCACTACATACAGCTCTGCACCCATCAGCACTGGCCTCCTTTTCATTTCCTGCATTTTGTAAGTGGTAACAGTTTCTACTGTTTCTTGCATCACAAGTACTGCAAAAGCAATTTTTGTGATGTTTTAGGCTTCACTTTCCTTTAGACCGAGTGGTTGAAATACTGAGAAACTGATTTCATTTACTTATATCATTGCTTTTTTTCTTCCATTTACATATCCACCTGAAAACATGCAAAATAACCAATATTTATCAGGTAGCTCAACAAGTAGCCATAAATTAAATATCAGTTTTGTACAAAACCCACTTATATGGATACCAAATGGGCTGCACTGCAATTACAAATGTTTGAGGCAAAAATTTCCTTCTCTTCAGCTCACCTTCCACTCATCTATCACATGAGTATATCCTACCCTCTGTTCTGAACAGTGAAAGGAAGTTATGAAACTGGTAAATTAGGACCATCTTTGCCTTTTAAAGAGAATTAAACTGGAGTTTTAGCTGTACAGAACCAAGTATTCCCTCCAACTTGTACATGATGCGCCTGTATTAATTTATGCAGCTGTTTAGTTACAAGTGTTGCAAGCTGATTGTAAGTCATCAGTATGTGCCTTGTACTGTAAACTGTTATTGTAATAAATTTAATATTCATAAACCATCTGTAGACGTCTCTTGTGCCTCTCTCTTATGGGAAGAAGAAAGATAAAATCTCACTTGTAAGTAAAAGCAGAATATGTAGTCGAGTTTACAATATCAACAAGGCCTCTGACAAAAAGCAGAGGATTCCCTGCAGTGTTTGAACCCTGGCCCACAGCTGAACACTCTTTCATTCCATTCCAGCAGAAGAACCAATGCTCATTACATTTGTTTAGACAAAAGAGCAAAACCAAACTCCTCCACACTTGGAGCAAGTGCTCAGCTGCTTGATTAGCTTACATATGAAACTCATTCAAGTCTCTGTAAACTGGCAGGATTTGCATTTTATTTTACTCACATTTTGTCTCATTACTAAGTTAGCTGAGCAAATTATTAGGGAAACACCCATCTCCAAACCTTTTTACGGAAGTTCACCTCACTCCAGCATGAAAGTGATAATTTTACTACAAAACAAAGCAAAAGAAACCTTTGTGGAAAGTGCTGAAAATATATTCTAAAAGCTAAAGCCACTGTCAGATATCCTGCTTACCAGGTTTGGAAGTAACTTTATGCTCAATTCTGAACCTTTGAACAGAAGATTGATAAATCTGTAACATCACTTCCAGCAGAACAAGCAGATACAGCCATAATACATGAAAAAAGACTCACAGACCTTATTTCATGCAAAAAAAGATGTGGTGAAATAACTCACACATTAAAAAAGACCCACACGTTAGACCCAACACATATCTTACACTTTATTGTTTCTGTACATCAGGCTCCCAAACTAAAGCCCACACATAAATACAAAATTCATGTATCAATTTAGCTTACAAAACCACACTACATACAGAAATCTCCTAGATTATTACTCAGGCTGTTTTTCTTGCTTTTCCCCCCACACTTTTACAGGTTTGCTTCCCATTTTTGTGACCATCATGTGGCAACAATGACTCCTGCTGAGGGCTGAGAGCACCTTTGTTTCAGCAGAGCTCAGTCTCAGCTGGTGGAAGGAGCAGGGGCTGCCAGGGGGATGTTTTCTCACCTCATGTTTAACACTCCCTGGTCCAAAATCTTTAAGTACCAAGGACTGAAGGGTAAGGTGTACAGAATTAGCCACATTTAATATTCCAGCTGTATAAACAGACTAAGGGTGTATCAAGTGACCCAGTAATCCATTCCAGAAGTTGTTCTATTCAGGGACAATTTCTCAAAGGAAAACCAGGAATAAATAGCTGGGATACCCTTTTACTTCTGTACAAGAGTCCACACAGAGGTGGCTTTTCCTTTTGGTTGACAGCCCAGGTGTCTTTGTCCACCAGAGGGACATTAATCCTCCTCCTTCTCGATGTAGGGCTTGCTGGTGACACGTGCCATCTGCCGTGCCAGGTACCGGTCCCGTGCTGACATCACTGTCTCCTCGTTGCTCCGTTTGGCAAATTTGCTCATGCCCTCAGGAGGTTTCTGTGCTTGCTCTTTCTCCTCTTTCTCCCCTTCTTCTCCAGCTTTACGTTTCTGTTCAGACAAAATCCCAGAGCTGGAGCTGCCCTTCTCATCCTGTCTGTCTTTTCCCTTTCTCTCTTTTTCCAGATCAGTCTCTCCATCTTTTTCTAGAGATGGAGGAGTACTTTCCCTCCTCTCTCTGTATTTCTTTTCATCACTACCATACTTGTCTCTCCTCTCCTTTGCATGATCTTCCTTTTCTCTGTATTTCTCTCCTCTCTCCTTCTCTCTGTCATTATATCTGTCTTTATCATTTCTTCTTTCTTTCTCTCGCTCCTTCTCTGACCCCTTCTCCTCCCTCTCCTTTGCCCTCCTCTCTCCTCTTTCTCTGCCATGTCCCTCCCTCTCCTTTCTTTCCTTCCCCCTTTGTTTATCATCTTGCTCTTCCCTCCTTCTGTAGTGATCCTTACTCGTGTGATCCCCGTGCCTGTGTCGCTCTTCCCTTTCCCTTTGGTGATCCTTTTCGTGGGTCCTACTTCTCTCATAATCCTTTTCCCTGTACAGTTCATCATTCCCCCTTCTGCTTGGTCTGCTCTCCCCCCTCTTTGCCAGGTGACTTGTTTGGGCTTTGGTGCGTGGCTCCTCCTCCACACTGGATGAACTTGGTGACCTGGAATGCCTCTGGCTCTTGTGATGTTTGGCCTCCTCTTCACTGCTCACCGAGCTCTCTCTCCTTTTCTTCTTTTTCAAATCTACTTTGCTGTGTTTGTGTCTCTTGTCATCATCACTGCTGTCAGTTCCTAAGTCGGTATCAGCATCTGGATTACTCTCTTTCTTGACAGAGGGTTTCACTTTTTGTCTCTCAGACGGGCATTTGTTCCTTTCGGTGGATTCATCCTGACTGTCAGGTTTTTCTTCCTTTATCCTACATTTTTTTATGTTAGAAAAGAAAAACAACATTAAAAAGCCTGAAATCTTGGACTTTTCTACAAAGTGACTTCTGGTCAGGACTTAAGCAAAAGATGCTGCTGAAAAGTCTAAGAAAGCAAATCTGTCTGTGGCTCAGGTTCCAGGACTCCAGCACAAAGGATTTCTGCTAAGTATCTTTATCTGGTTCATTGGTGAATGTGAGCTGATGAATTTATCTAAAAGAATGACTTTGGTTAAGTATCTGCAGGCTCCATCTAAGGAAAAAGACATCCATTTGTATTCCTGTGTAAGCCTGATGGGAAGTTACAGGTTTCCCTATGTGCTTATTCCTCTATTCATGTCAAATAATTATCCAGAGAAGCAGCAGACTGCATGTTTTGTTGACTGAGGTAGGAACATGGTTTCCATTAGCAGTAGGGATTTTTTTAATCCAGTATTTCTGAAGCTCTCACTCGTGGCTAGATAGAAGTTAGTATCTTTTAACAGCTCAAAGATTCTTAAATGCAAAAAGCTGACCCCTGGAGGACTAAATTGGGCAGTAGAGCAGAAAGGTTCTGCTTTGTCATTCTCTTCTGGCTGATGAGGAAATACATGTTACTCACAGGAGCCACATGTCTCTTCTTTTTAATCACACAGCTCCAGGAACAGCCTGTGGTGACTCTCATGAATCAGCACACCAGCTCCTTAGTTTGAATGTTTGCTGCATGCTTGAAAGCATGGATAGTCTATGAACAATGACTAAAAAATATGCTGAAAAGCTTGGTAATTTATTTAGTAATCCCATTAATTAAACTCACAAGTCAAAGGTGAATCACTTGAGGCACAATTCTGAGATCTAAAAATGGAGCTGTTTTTTCTCTGTGTCCTGGTGTGCCACCGTAAGTAAAACCAAAGTTAAAATACACACCTGAGCTCATCTGAAAGCTCTGCTGGGAGCACCATCTGCAGTACTACTTGTTTCCCCCCCAAAATTAATTTTATGTGCCACAAAAGGAACATTTCCTTAATTTGCAAGACTTAGAAAGCACCATTTCAAATGATCTCTATGCAGAACAAAACCACACCATACTGAAGACATAATGGAGAATTTCCTTATTTCAGGTGGCTGAGTAACTTCAGTGATCATATTCTTTATTTAAGCTAAGAATTTACTTCCTAATAACCCAATCTCAGATCCAGATGATCTCTTAGTGAAAGCTGTATTTTCCTTGTAATGGCAAGCATTTAACTAGTGACATTCATGCTTAAGGCCTGTATTAAGTGAAGTTTAACCTGAGTTAATTGTTTCAAATGATCAGTTGTTGCACACCAGAAACATGGTCCCTTCATCACATTTATCCACAGGGCAGAAGTTCAGCACCTCAACTATCTAAATAATTCAGTCTCATCTTATTACTTTGCTTTGGAATGTGCATATATTAAGATTTTAAAATATTCCCACTGGATTTCCTATATATTTGATTAATTTCCTTTTACCAAAGCATCATCACTCAATTTTATATGAAATTGTAGATGTGGAATAAGTACAAAGTTAGAGACTCACATTCTTTTCAGGAAATTCATAGCCCAACATCATTTCCTATGACTTACCTCTCTGCTCATTATTTACCTTTTGTCTCCCTCATGATTCAAAATGTCTAACTTAACACAGATTTGATAAATTTTATATAAGCCAAATTACATGTAGGTTAGAAAAATACCAAGCAGTATTACAAGCATGACTGTCCTACTGATACTTTTTAAACAGCATCCCTCTCCTGCTTGTTTCATTTCTGTATCACTGACCATCATTTTACCAAATAATGCAGTTAATCACGTGTACGAAATAACCAGCTTAACCTACCAAGTGTTTTAGTGCTCTCTGTCTAACTCTCCAGTGAGTCTGGAATCCCAAACAGCCAGATGCTGGTTTTAATATCCAAAAGCCTGTTGGAATCACATCCTACCTGGCTTCACGGAAGCTGCATTTAGGCATTTCTTCTTCCCCTACCCTCTGGTTTAAAAGGTGTCTGTAAAATCCACTGAGATCCCTCTGTTTGGTCACATCCAGGTATGCTGAGAGAAAGGAAGGAAGGTTGGATTTACTGTGCCACAAATACTCATCACACACAACTCACAATTGGTAGAAACCACCGAGACTGCAATCTCCATCCTGGAGGTTTTCAAGTCCAAAGTGGAAAAAGCTCAGAGTAACCTGATCTGACCTCTCAGCAGACCATGCTTTGAGCAGGAGATTGAACAGATGACCTTCAGAGGTCCACTCCAACCCAATTTATGTTATGATCTTATATCCTGTGCTTTACATCCACTCCTGGGACACTGCATGGAATGCCTGAGGTAAGGACTGTAAACATCACTGTACCCCAGGCTTACGAGTCTTCCTTCAACAACTGACCCTCCCTCAAAAATAAAAAGTATCAACCTAAATAGTACTGACACACAAACAGAGGAGCTTCCTCTGTTCCTTTTGTAACCTCTACAGAGGAATATAAGAGACCAACTAGGATCTGATTCAGGATCTGCTAATCTGGTCCTCTTTGATTTTATTTATCTCAAGCCTCAGAAAGAGACCAGATGACAATGTTGTAAATCATGCCCAAGGTCATACTTTTTTTTAAGGACAATTATTTCAGTGTGACTCTCACCCTCAAGAGCTGACTGTCTTCTTTCTCTTTCCTCCTCCTCAGCCCTTTCTTGCAGCTTCTTCTTATAGGCTGAAGTCACAAAAGCCTCTTTGTGTGCAAACTCTTCTCCTTCCATTTCACGCTCTTTCTGAATTTTTCTTTCCATTCTTTTTTCTTGTTCCTTCTTTCTAATCTCGGCTGCTTTGAGGATATTATGGATGTACCTGGGCTAAAACAGAAGGGAAAAAAGTTACTGTGCTGAGAAGCAATTGAAGTGGCTGAGAAAACACAAATTGGGATCGATGGAGATGTTGGAGAAAGTTGGTAATGGAAGAAAATGGACCAAAGCAAGTCTAACGTGTTCTCACCCTGTTGGACAGCTATCCAAACTAAACTGTCATTCCCTTCTAGATCCCTAACATGGCATGCTTCCCAGGAACAAAAGAGGTTGCTGTATTCAACCAAAACAGTCATCCCATCTTTGACTAGGAAGATTTTTACTCTAAATTAAATTAAATGTTTTTCAATTTCTCATCCCTCTGTCTTCTGTTCTGTAACAGTCTCGCCTTTCTATTGCTGTAAAGGAGTGGGAAGCTTCCTTTTTTTACCCACAGAACCTGACAAGAGCTTTCAAATGAAAAAGAATAAGTAACAATGAAAATATAATTTGTCAGGCTAATTCAGCAGTGCTTTGAAACAAGGCACTGGGCTGTGCAAATGGGTTCACATTTCACCAGTGGAAGTCAATCACTTCAGTCTTCTGACAGTCCTCCAGTAGCTCACTGATGGAGGAGGAGGGACAATTTATATCCACTGGCTTAGAAACAGAAGTCTTTATCACCAGCAGTGTTGTTGTGCAGGGCCCATTGCCCCTAATCCTGTTATCCCACTGTAACATTCTCTTCAGAAACACCCAGAAAGATACACCCCAAATACACCAGAAACTGGGTGGGAAACGTGTGGTCTCCTGGCCTCGAGAACATCCCAGCCTGGGACTGAAGCACCTGATGAATTAACAGCTTTGCCAAGATTCTTGCAAATTCTTGCCTTGTGTAACAGCATTTGAGTCCAATCTTATATGAAATTTAAAGGAAATGCTTGTGGCAAAGCTTACAAGTTAACCAACCATGGTTGTTCCAAGCAGACAGAGGTAAGACAGTTGGCACACATTGCCAGGTATTGACCTTTTTGTCCTCTTGTCCAGATAACATTTTGGCACTACTTTCTTTCTTCTTCTGCTGCATTTCATCATAAATACTGTCATATTCATACACTGTAGCATCTTCCTCCAAAGCCTTCTGAATCTCCAATTTAGTCTAAAAGAAGAAACAGGGGAGGAGAAGAAAAGATATCAAAAAACAATAATGAAATCTTTGCTATTTTCAAATATTTCTTTCCTATATTGTAACTTAAACAGATCTATAGCATAAAGGTACCCAGAGAGTAAATGAAAAACAGTCCCTTACCTGTTTCATTGCTTGCTTTTTCAGTGCTTCTTTCTGAAGACTTTCCCCAACAGATGGCTGTGAGAAGGAAGCATTGCAGAAACAGAATTCATTACACTGACACAGCTAATATTATTTTTCTACCATTCTAACAAACAACTATAAAATAGTCCAATTACATAAGTCAGTCTCTCACTTCAATAGTATTTTCTGTAAAAACCAAATATCCTAAAAGATTTGGTATTTATTTCAAGTTTGAGCTGTATCATTAGCCCTGTATTTTCAGAAATAAGAACAGTGCTGAACAGCATGTCCTTCAAATGTTACTATTTAATTTCTCAAGATTCACATGCTAGAAAATAGCAAAGCTAATCTTCCCTAAGAAGAAACAGATCCTTACTGAAAATGTTTCCTAATCATAGTCTTCTAAATAAAAACTTTGCATTTTATTTAGTTTTTTCTTTTAATTAGTCTTGAACTAACTAAATATCTATCTTTTCTCAACCAACAGATAACGGTGTTTATTAAAGAGATCCACTGTAATGACAGGAGTTGTACTTGTACTTGTTTATGTAATTAAATATCTCTTAATCTTAAAGAGCAGAAATAGGAAGGGAAAATCCTTTTGCATTCTGGCAGCTCCCCAAGTTTTGCAACTTTGACTAACACATGCTCTGTATCACATTTTAAAAAGACAAAGAGATTCTGTAATTTGCTCTTAATAAAATTAAAAAATGAAAACCAACTGGCAGAGAGTTTGGCAGCAGGGATTAAGATCTTCTGAAATCAATCAGAATTAGCACCATCTAAATTCAAACAGATCCCCTGAACAAGAAGGCTTTTGAATTCATTTGCTGCTTAAAATAAAATAATAACATGTTGTGACCCCTCTTTCTTATCCTATTAACATTTTAACAGATCTCTCAAGAAGGAAAAACACCAAGTGCTTTTCCACAATTCCCTACAGGACAGACTGTAAACAGCACAAATCCTCTTTTCACTGGGTGATTTCAGAACAGGCAATGAGTGGTGCCAGGATGGAGGTCCATTATACATGACTCTGTGCACTCTCTCTGTGGCCCCTCACAGAGGTCCCTGCTGATTTGGCAGGTGGGCAGAGCAGACCCTGGCCCTGTGCTGAGCCAACAGTTCCCCCTCAACTCTGGGGAAGACTAAAATCACACATTCTCACCTCTATCTGTGCCTTTACCCAGCTGGCATTTTAACAAAGACCACAGGAACGCCGTACCTTTGGGACCTGTCACCCACCCAGGATGGGACTAAGCAACAGGTACAGACAGAGATCACCTCTAACAGATTTTTATTCTGCTGTGCAAACCATGAATAATAAAAAGACTTGTAAACTTCTGAGATACTACCTTCAGAAAGGCAGTATCTCAGAAGAGTACCAAGTAATTCTAAATTCAGCAAGAGAAGGTGCTAAGACAACACTCAATATTTGGAGAGGTACATAAGGCATCACACAATAGCATTTACTGCACTCTGGACCTGTGCTCACCTCCCATAAACACACTAGTACTGACATTTATAAGGAATACTACAGTCAGAGAAACCTGAGACACAGAATATTCAAAATATTCCTTCCTAGCTCCCTCAAAGCAAAGGACTCAGACCAGTAAAAACAGGAATTTGGAAGGGCACATACTCCCACTTTCCTGGTGCTTTAGCTCCCACCTGCAAACTTAGATAAATTCCATGTCTGCTTTCAAAACGTTAAACCTTGGGGTTAAACTACAGTGCTAAAGGGAAAGCATGATGTGCACTTGCCTGGAAGAAAAACCCTGCACTGATTCTGTGCTCATCATCAGACAGCAGCTTCTCCTTCCCTCTCCCTTACCAGGTAACCAGGTAAGGAAGCAGGGCACACTCAGGCTTTAGGAATCCGAGCTCAGCAAACATGATGAACACACAAAGTCCTCTGTGGTCTCGGGGACTACACCCTGCCTGCTGCAGCTTGCTGATTGTTTGGACTAGAACTGGATATAGTCTCTTATTTATTTATGTAGCCAGTTGATTGGCTGACTGGGGGAAGTAGATAGTGGATTATTTAGTTTAAAACAACCTATAGGAATCCTGGCTTTGCTCATTCAGTATTTACATCTGGCTTTTAAACTGAAAAACTGACGTTGAGAAATAGTTTACAATAATGTACTCGATTTTATGACATATACTTTCTTTTGAAAATGCCATAAATGAGTCAGTATAAACTATAAAGACCCATTTTAAATTGGCATAGAACACATAACAGCTTTACACAGAGGAACTTGACTTCCAGAAGACTTGGCTCTTGGGAAAGAAAATGGTCCTTTGCTTGACACATTGAGGGTCATCACTGAAGGTTTCCTTTATGGAAAACTCTTATACTAGTTTAACAGAAAAGTACAACAACAAAGGATCTCCCCTGTGCTAGTCCAGAAAGCAGGGGCTCAGTAAAACACAAACCAGATTCTGCAGCTGTATTTACAGAATAAGCTTTATTCCACCAAAATATCTGAAACACAGCTTAGAATGTTTTCCTTGTCTGCCTACATGAAATAAATGCATTGATCCAAAGACTGCACAAACACAAAAGCAATCTATAATCCTCACTCCTGGACATATGATGGTGAAGGAGTCCATCTGCCATTTGTCTGGAGTGGCAGTGAGTGTACAGAAGACAAACACCTTCCCCAGTGGTTTATGGGGGACAATTTCCTGTCATGCTGTGAGCTCTGACAGATGAGAACTTCCCGTCCCTTTGTATTGTTTTTACTTATCAACTGCCCGTTTATTAAAGGTCCTACAAGCTCAGCAATCTGCCTCATACCTTCTCTTTCCCTGTAGCCAAGCTATTCTTCTGAAGCACAAAGCTTATAGTTCAGTATTTTATGGAAGGAGAAAATGTTTTAACCCTATCCTGTGAAACAACACAGAATCCATGCAAAGCAAGGGACTCTTAGAAATGAGGCTCTCACTGCCCTGAGACCATGGGAGACAGCTTGTACACAACTGAAAAGGTTATTAAAAAAAAAAAAGGCAATAAATTCCCCCAATCTGCTAACACTTCCCATTGTTCTCTCCATTTCTTATCTCCTCCGGGTGTCTATAGCTTGTTTCAGTTTTAGTGCTTGTGCTACCTTCTTATTTTTATCCCAAAGGCAAACACTCCTTGTAAATTTTTTCTTAAAATACTTTCTTTACGTTGCTCCCAAACGACCAAAGAAGAACAGACATTCAAACTGGTGGTTTCTAGGAAGCTACATCCTTAAATCTAAAGCTGAGGATGCCTTGTAAAAACTCTCACAACTATTTTAAGAGATGCTCTCAAAGTGCATGCGAGGTGTCTCATTTGTTTTTCCCCACTGACTGCCACAAGAAGTATGAGACCAACAAATTCTAACATAATAGCTATTATTAATGGAATATCTCCTATTAGCTGCCTAACCTGCCTCCTAAGGAAAAGCATTTCTGGTTGCTTCAAAACCCCAGGCATGGTACTTATTGATAGACAACATAAGACATCACTCCACTCCTTTTTTAAAGCCAGAAGATGCTTCTGCTGTAATATAACATGTTATGAAAGATCCATAAGGAGGCTTTGCCCTTTAACACTGCCCTTTTGAATTCTCCACGTGCTGCTTTGCAGTAGACACGTAAAATAAATTACCTTTGTTTAAAGTGAAATCCATTTTAAAGAGAAATGAAATGCTTCAGTGATGTCAGCTAGACTACATGCAGTTTGATTTTAATCTCTCACTACAACCATCCAGTTTCAACTGAATGCACAGAAAAAGATTTGACCAAACGGGAACAACAAGATAATTTGCAGTGAAAGAAGCCCAGACAATCAGCCAGTTCACAAAAAACAAAGCTTACATCTAAACTGAGCTACTCATCCCAGAACACTGCACTGGTAAAGACCGAGAAATAGGCACTTTGAGAGAAAAATTCATCACACTGATTTTAGGTGTCTACTTTAGAATGAGGCAAGTTGTGCCTCAGAAGTATCTGCATCTTTGCTGACCATACAGGGAGCTCAGGGAACTCAAGTGCAGCCACCTGCATGTGCCCCACGTGGCCACATCTCTGCCAGGCTGAGATCTGGCTCCGCTCACTTCATCCTTCTCACATCTCAGGCTCTGAGATCATTGGGGTCGTGACACTTTGGTACCAAAATGAGCTACTTACACCCTCATGTATATGTATTTAGGAGGGAATCCTTAATGCTTGCCCTCACAGGGATCTGTACTATCCAACTACAGCCTGCACATGGATATTCCCTCAATGCACAGGAGACTCCAGTCTTCATGAGGAAAAAAATAAAAATCACATCAGGCAACAGATTCCTCTCAATTCACACACAAGTCAGAACTACTACCAGAAGATTAAGGGAATGAACATGAAAAACAAGTCACATACACAGAATTAGCTTTCCTTGGAACTCCCTCCTAGCTTCCAGAAACCAGGAGATGAGGGACTTCCTGAACTTGAGGATGCATCTGGTCCATTGTTTGACACCAAGAGCATCCCTTAATTTGACTAATCCATTTTTAAATCCATATATATTTTTGGCCATGCCACAATATCCTGTGGCAAGGAGTTCCACACTGTGTACAGAAGAATCCCCAACTTCCTCTTGTTTAGATTAAACCAGCCACCAGTTACTTGGTAATTCTATAATATAACCTCTTGTTCATATTATGAGAAATGGCAACATCACCTCAGTTCCTCTGAACCATTCTTCATTCTCCATACATCCTCTTGAGTTACTCCTGTCCACTTCCTCCTCCTCAGAAAACTCTTTAGTCTACTTAGTCTTACTGTGCCTGGAACTGTTGCATAAACTCTGGTCAGCACCAATCCTTACAACTTAGAGAATCCTTTTTTCAGTCATACTGTTCCTTTGCAAAACTGCAAAGGGAATGGGAGGATCTGTAAGCAAACCCAAAAATCTGAGTCCACAATTTCTGCTTATTTTCAGCTTCTGCCTGCTTAAATACTTCATTTATCTTTTATATGGTCACTAAAAAACCCACCAAATCCAGCTATACATTCACAGAACTATCCACACTGACTCCATGATCTTTTTCCTGAATTTAGCACCTACTGAGGTCTATGTGCAGTTATTTTTTGAGCAATGCTTTTCAATCTGCAGGAACAAATCAGTTTTGAAAGGCTGGTAAGGTACAGGAATATGCTGGGTAATTCTGATACAATCAAGGAACAGAAATTTTATCTGCTGTACCACAGAGATAATTTCAACTAAACTCCAAAGGTAAAACAGAACAATGAACACTGGGAATACTGACAAGCCACCTCTGAAAACACAATGCATGAATAAGGGAATAATCTCTTTGGAGAAAATGAATAGATCACAAATAACAGTAAGTCAGAATGGAAACTCATTTCTATATTATAGTTTGTTGTTATAGCATCTACTCTCTACAACAGGCTTTCCTGGGGGCAACAACCTTTTCCTCAACAACTCCTCATTATGAAGACAAATAATTCAGAACTGTATTGGCTACAAGGGACTGTAACCATCTGGTTTACTTTTTCCCAGTCAACATTGCATTTCAAGAAAATTTCCACCCTAGATATTCTGTTTCATATGAACTAAACCAAAGATCATCTTCATTAGCAACTAACACCCATTAATGTACTTAGCTACAGGGGGAAAAAGAATCCTAATTCCTTCAGCAAGGATACAGGCAAAATCTTAATGAAATATGCATAGTAACATTAAAAAAAAAAAGGGAGCAAAAGTTTGGTATCTAATATATAATCACAGACCAAGTCAGGTGTGCAGATTCCCCAGCACAAACTTTATTAGAGTTCAGTTAAAAATACATGATCTCCAGACATTTGAGATGTAGTTCTGACTGATAAGGTAGCAGACAGGAAATGAAACCCCTCCCAAATGCTGCTCCTTATCTGGAAAAGCTCTGAAATTATTACAGAACTAATAAAGTAATGTTGCTTTTTTCTAAAAAAAACAATCTTCTTTGATAAAGGCAGTTATGAGATTATTACTTTTTGCTGGGTATGTACCATACTGAGCATGACAACTTTTAAGAGTCTTATAAAGACTCTGGCAGTGAATCTGTCAGCCTTTCTGAGAGGGAGGATACTTGAGCTGTTAAGCTAAAAGTTGGCAAACAGCATCATACACTATTTTTACTAGAATTATTAGCATTCATTCTTTTTGCTTTAATATTTAGATACTGAGAGAAAATGAAAGAATACAAGACAGTCCCCTACTCGGGAAGGTTCCCACTCCAACTGTGTAATGTTTAATGACAACAGATTAAATCCAGCTTATTCCTGGAATCTGGAAAATGTGGGGTCAGATCCTTAATGTAGAGAAAGACACCAAATCCCAACTGACAGGGAAAGTGCTCCTGCCACTGAGGAGACAGGATCCACTGCCATCTCCATTAGCTGCAGTTAAAGGAAAGCCTCCAGAGCCACAGAGCCAGCTGGGAGCTCAGGGGAAGGGATGCACCTCTGAGGACCACAGCTAAGTGAGGGAGGAGATGGGATTTAAACACATCCCTGTTGTCTCTGCTCACTGTGAGCTGCACTGAGGCACTTTCATGCTGAGGGTTGAGTGGGTATCACCAGAAAGGCCCTAAGCCCTTTCATGCCCTGTGTAATGGGAGCTCAGACACCTTCCACAGCAACACTCTGGATGCTGTGATGGAAAAAGGCTGGGAATTGCTAGATTCAGGCTTTGACATAAAAAATACAACTGCTAGTTTATTAAAAAAGATTTTAAAAAACAAATATTTCATGAGTCAAAAACTGACCAAAATTATTTGAAGCTTTATTAGCCTTGTTTTTTTCAACCACACAAAAGAATGAGCACGGAGCAAAGCTCTAGGAAAATAAGAACATCTTTGTAACACAGGTTCTGTTTCTAAAGTTCAAATTATACAAAAGCTCAACTTCTTAAATGTTAAAATTCTAGACTATAGGTATAGGTAAAATTTATTTTCTGGGTTTTGTGGAAAAAAACCCCTAAGTATGTACATAATGACATCATGACTAAATTACCACAAGTAATTCCAGATTGATAAAGCCCAGAAAATTGTAACATTACGTTCAGAGGGCTCCATCCATGTGGAGAGTTAACTGCACAATCCAGAGTTTCTATTTCTTACCTGCAAACTACGAAGCTACTGGCTTCGAATCCTTCACAAATTCTGTTTTAGCAGATGGGTTTCCTAAGGGCCCCAGACCAGCTCATTCCACAGCCCCTTCCTGGATGATTCCCGTGTTCCCAGAGGCATATCCAGGTAGGATTTACAGCACACACCGCCCTCTACTGGGGCAGGTAGGGAGCGACTATTTTGAAGGTAATACTTAAAGATTATAGAAAAGAACACTATCGTGTAATATCACACATCTCCTTTTGCTTTAAAACTTTTGGGTTGTACAGCCTTGCTTTTGTTCACAGTGAGTGTGAACATGATAAACCAGTTATACCAAATTTGGGTGGAATGAGCTAAAGGATAAAATACAGTTAATAATATCCTTAAAGGGTAAAATACACTTAATTACCACACTTTAGATTAATAACTGGGGAAGACCTGTTGATTGGTCTTTCTATTTCCAAATGTATTCACCAGTGACATCCAACAAATCTTATTACAAGCTACAATTAACTCCTGCCAACAGGTTGCCACACGTGCTGAATTTTTGAACAAGTTTACAGAGAGTGACAATCAACTCATCAATTCCATGTAACTCACACTAAAGACAACACAGATCATGTTTCACACCCAAATCCAAAATGATGACACAAATCCTAGTGACACTGCCATAACCTGATGCAGGCATTAAGAACTGGACACAAACAATTTGCAAAATACAGGGCAAAATTTCAGAAGAAAATTGTTGAACTGACCTCTTCATCTGACTCATCTGCAAACACCGAGAGCTTCTTTGAAACGAGATTTTTCTGGGGCAATTTTTTTGGCATAATAAGCCCATATCTAGAGAAAAGAAAAAAAAAAAAGTTACTTACAACAAAACACGTGGCATGTTCCGAAGCAAAAATCTGCCACTCACCATTTCAGAAGCAAAAGCTCAGTGTCAATATAATGCATCAAAGTTAGATGTGAGCCAGCAGAGTACTCGGCCCTGACACACACCTGTCAGATAATCCCAGAGCTATTGCTATCTTCTTCCATGTAAAGCTTCTGGATGTAAATTTGTGTCCTAAATTAGGCACAAACCCCTCTTGCCCAGAATTCTCCACGGGGTTTTCTTTTCTCCCTCAGAGAAGTAAGAAATGACTGTTTAACCTGAAGGGATTTAGCCTTAACCTACACCACAGTGTTGTGTAGCTACGTTTGCAGTGCAACAAGAAGTTCACCTGTTTTGCTGGCGATGTAAACCTCAGGTTTACAAAGGCCAAAGGATAAGACTTACAGTCTGCTTATGTCACGCAGAGACTGATTAACCACATGTAGACAACTCTTCCGCAGACACGGCCCACTTCTGTTAAAAATACCTCCTTTTCGTACTGAGCAACCTCTAAATAAGGAATTTCTCCCCCGCCTGCCTTTCCCTGAGTCCATCACTGAGTGAATGGTTGGTCAGAGTGTATCTCTGAGCTGGAGCATCGCACCATGGGGGGGTACAACCCCACCGCTGTGACCGCCCTGAACCCTCCCCTCAGCTCCCTCCGACCCGGCTGCCCCCGGGGCCGGCGCTCGGGGGTGGGAAGCGCGGCTCTGTGTGAGGGAAAACGGAGGAAATTCCCTTCCCTAAGAGTACGAAACACCTCCGGGCAACACCGCCGCTGCCTCAAGCGCCTGCCCGCTGTTTGGGGTTCGTTTGCTTTTAATAAACACAGGTTTAAATTCAGGCCAACACAGCGGGGCTATGCCGCGGACACCCGTGACGGGGGAGTTGTGCCAGAGCTCGTCCCCACCCTCAGCACCGGCCCCAAAAACCCCCTGGCGGGGCCCCCCCCCTTTCCCCCTCGGCACTCACTGCTTCCCCAGCGCCGCCATCTTGCCCGGCGCCCGGTGCGCAGCGCCATGCTTCCGCGGCCGCAGATTCTTCTCGGCCGACGTCCCCCCACATACTTTTCTCCGCCCGTCACCGGGGCCCCCACGGCAGCACGCGCGCCGTCCGCTCCCAGGAGGAGAGCGGAGAGCGGGTGGAGGGGCTGAGAGGCGGCCGGGGCGATTTTTTTTTTCAGCGGCCCGGGCTGGTGGGGCGAAAAGTTGCTCGATAGTGAAGAGGGCTCGTCGCGGGCCGCGCGACGCCCTGATGGGGAGCAGGGGGCGCCTCTCCGGGGCAGTGCGGCGGAAAGCCCTGAGGCGAGAAACGTCCCTGAGGGGGGAAAGCCCCTGATGGAGCGAAGCCCTTGAAGGGAAAAGGTCCTCGAAGGGAAAAGCCCCTGAGGCACCCCCGGCTATGCCCCTGGTGGTCGCCGGTCCCCGGGCCGGGGGTGCAGAGCCGTCCTGCCCCCCTCAGTCATCACAGACCTGTCACTTGTTGCCCGCTAAAGACTGAAAGAGGAGTTTTAATTTCCCAAAATATTATTAAAAAAGTGATTCTGCCAAAAGGGACGTTATTGGAAAGATGAAATCTCGCTGCCGACAGTGCAGTTGCTGTAATATCAAGCTTTATCCCAATAAGAAAGCTTTTTGTGTTATATTAACAGTGTTGGGCTTTTCTGCAGCGTGTTCGGAAGAATGTTACAAAATGCTGATTAATAACCTCTGCTTAAAATTATTCCAAAAAAGTCATTTAAGGTGACTGAATCTTGAAAATTTTTGCTGTATCATTTATGAGCATTGTAGCTGGGGAGTCATAAAGTCACTGCTTAAAAACACCCAAAACTTTATTCAAGCCTTTAAAATTCAGTAGCTATATTAGAAAAATTGTTTCCTTTAATGTTTTTATTACTTTTTCTTAATAATCCTTAACAGACTTCCTATCATTTTAACTAGCAATCCCTAACAAACTTCAACCATCTTAACAACAAATACTTATGGCTATGCTTAAAAAAAAATAGAAAAACAACAGTTAATTTAAATTTTAAAATTTGTGAAATACTAGAATCACAAGGGTTAGACGAGGAATTAAGAGATTTAATTGGAGGCACACAACAACTGGATGCCAAAAGGAACTAAGGATGGGGTTTTTCACTGTGTTGGCTCCCTGTGATCTCTGCGAGTGCCAGGCAGGTGTGAACCCAGTGGTACAGGAACTCGGCTGGAGCACAGCCCTGCTGCCACACCGCCGCTTCAGGGACACCTGCAACCAAAAAAGAGCTGTAACTACAAGAGGGAAAGTCAAAAGCATGAGCAGTGTTGCCCCAAAATCAAAGAGAGGTCATCCCATCAGCAGTGCTTTCCCTGAGTCCAGTAATTCCACCCTGCAGAATGGTGATGTTTTGAAAGGCACCGAGCATTATCGTGACAGTGACCTGTCAATCACAGAAGTGCTGACTTTTTATTATAATTTATTATTATAATTTATTATCATTTATTATTGTACAAAGTGCTCTGCTATATTTTAATGCTAAACTTTTGATAATCAAAAATACAATGAGAAAAGTGCTTTTTTTAATCCAAGTTCAGATTTAAGAGTAATATCATTCAAAGCTTTTACTAAGTGCTATTAAAAGTCATCACATAATCATGCCATAAAGGTTGCTCTGTCCACAGAACACAGGTTGTTTTGTGCTCTGTTCTATATTACAGCACAAATATATGGAACATACGTGTATTACCTGATGTTCATTTTAAAGGAATTCCTGTAACTGTGAGTTATACCTGCATTTCATCCTGGGAAACCAACCTTTCCTAGCATACCAGCAAATGGCCAAAGCTGTATTCTTTAATCTAGTTACATCTTTGTCCATAGCTGTAGGAACATCAGATGCTGTAGGCCTGCCTTGTTCTTTCCAGTGAATTAGTTTAATATATATGAGGAGAACACATGAAAAGGAACCATGACGGCCTCAAGTGTTTACTCTTTATCAGCAGGCAAGGTACTGTTGATAAATATCTCCAGCTAAATTAATAACTCTTGTCCAGGTTTGTTTTTTAACAGGCCTCTCAGATCATCAAGGGAGAGATCTCAACAAGAACAAGTAATTTCTCTTGCAGAGATATTGCAAATAATAATAATAATAATAGCCTCTTGAGTGCCCTGGCACCAAAAAAGCCCATGTTTATTAAAGGAGAGAAAGACAGGCTGAAAACCAGCTCCTGTTTGTGGCCAGTGAGTACATTAAGCACTTGGCAGATGGTGTTTACAAAGAGGAGGGCTCACGCTGTCCTCCCACAGTCATGTTCCTGTTTGGAGCTGGGTCAGTCCCTAGGGCAGGGCACAGAGGTCTGAAGTAGATTTGCTTGCCAAAAGAACCATCATTCTTCATATGTCTTCACATATTACTTGCCAAAAGAACTCTCATTCTTCATATGTTTATCTGGAGGTGTACAATGAGATCACTTGTTCTGGAAGCTTTCAAAGCTGATCTGCTCCCCTTTCTTTAAGGCCGTGAATTTTGAGTCTAAATTTTAAACAGGTTGACTTCTAGTGACCAAAAAAGATTGCAGATATTTAGGAACCTTTATCTGTTGTTTAATCTCTTGTGAAATCAAAGTTAATTTGTGAAGTAAAGACCTTAAAAGTACTCAGCTGAAGGTGGCCACCGACACTATTTCTGAGCTGTGCCTGGGAACCTCACAAGGAGTTTATAATATTTACCAGTGATGCAGTCCAGCAGCTCTGCTTGAATTTGCACAGATGCAGCAGTTGGATCAAAGCAATAAATCTCCTGAATCAAATTGTCATCAAGTTTCTGCAATGCAAAGAACAGAAAGAGTCAGGTGGTGATGAAAAGGTTACAGAATCAAAGACGGCAGAGAGAAGCATACAGGAAATCTATAGGTAATGAATTATTTCACTGCCAATTCCCCCTTGGCAAATTCCACTGAGTCTTCCTGAGGGAGTAATAATAGAAAACAAACTCTCAGCGATTTGAAGTCTCACCAGTTTACACTGACTCCAGTTCTCGATCTCCTCTGAGCCCTTCCAGTCTGGATGCAAAAGCAACAGCACAGCCTTAATTATGTCGTGGAGCAGAGCTGGGGGTTCTGCACAGCTCTTTACTCCAGCAAAGCTCTCGGCACCGAGTTTCCGGACACACTCGCGCAGGTCCTGCAGCATGAACCGCTGGAACAGAACCCCTGGGTGCCTCACCTTTGCCACCCGTTCTGCCTCTGCAATCAAAAACAAACCCCCCATGAAGTTGCTCAGAAACATCTGCTACTCAAGACTTACATTATTAACTGACGAGCTCTGCTCTCTTTGTGATTAACTCTTTGCCTCCTTGATTGATTTGTTTGCAGCCCAAGTATCCTACCAAGCTTCTAAAAACGGATATGTGCTTGAGAAGGGGACAACACAGGGGAAGCAGAGGTCCTGAGACCCAAGGGTTCAGGCCTGCAGACAATTCTGTGACATTCAAATTCTTTTGCTCTTAGAGCAGTTCTGAGGAGGACAGGCTAGATCCCTGAGGTCGACAAGGCACCTTGCTTCACACCTCTGATTTCAGCACAAAGTACCCTGTGAACCAGAGTTAAAATCTAACCATTCTGTTTAACTGTGCTCCACTAAGCTCTTAGGCTTACTCAGAAGTTGTTTACATAAACCAAAGATTTGTATTTGTCTTTCCATACTTGTAGGAAAGATACCTTAGATGTGATTTTACTGAGATTCCTAATTTCACTCCTAAAAAACCCTGTCTTGTCTCTATGCACAATACCCAGCACATAGGTTGGTTCTGTTTCCTCTAGAGACCTCCACAGGATCTCCAAGCAGGCAGCTTGGACCATCTTTAGCATTTTCTGCAGGTCTTTCTGTTCCTGAGGTGGTAATTTCTTGTGGTGTCCAATGCTGATATCAAATATGCCAAGAGCTTGTCCTGATACGTCATGGAGAGGTACTGCAATGTGCTGTTCTCCACGGGCAGCAGTGAGAGCGGCCTCTAAACTGTCTGTGCACCTAAACAGGTAATCCCTGAAATAAAATGTACTAGATTTTATCATTCTGGTTTCTTTTGGTCATTTTCTTAGCATATTTTAATAAGATGTCATTCATCTCTCACTGTTAAGGGTATTACATTACTAAATCATAGGTTATTTCCTTGAGCTGAAATATGCACAGCTCTAAGTATCATTCCAGCCAAAGGAGAAAATAGCACTGGGAACAGATATTGCTTAGCCAAGGTGACTGCTGAAAATCCTAAATATTTAACAAACCTTGCTTTAAAAACAGTTTTCTGTTTATAAATGCAGTGACAATATAAATCCATAGAGTTTTATAAAAAGTAAAAACAGCTGCTGGAACAGCAAATAGCTGTTCAAGCAACTTTGACCACAGGGATGATATGCTTGAAAGACAAGTCTGTGAGGATCTTGACAGTGGAAGGAAACAGCCAGCTGAAGAAAATGAGACTAATGTGGCCAGGAAAGGGGACAGATTAAGCTAAAGAGCAAAATGGTTCAGTGTAGGCTTTAATCCTGCAAACCTTGGCAGCTCAGCTACTAAGTATTAAATCAGAAGTTGTTTTTGGAAGCCTAAACTCAAAGAGAAAATACCCCTCCCCCCTTCACAGTTCAGTGTCACGTCTGTACGCACCAGGAGCCTTGACAGTGACAGAGCTACAGCCAGACACTGTCACAGGGTTGCACTGCCAGGGGCTTTGTGCAACATGGATCATGCCTGATGTAGGCTGAGTCTAAGAGCAGAGGGGACTATTCCTACTCTGGCCACTGGAGCCTACCTTAGCAGGTTTTCTTCTCTGAGGAGAAGAGCAGGAGAGCTATGGATTTCTTTTTGTCCTGTGTTATCTGTAGTGATCATCTCGCACAGAGCCTGCCAGAGAGAAAAGAGAGGTTTAGCTGCATCCAAGAAAGGAACAGATATTTTGAAGTTTGGAGGGAGAGGAAATGGCTTATTTCTTATAGGAAACTCCCATGTCCGTTCAAGGGGTGG